AAAATGTATGTGAAATGCAGCAAACAGCAATGACAGCAAAAATGAAATTTTTGAAAAATTTCTAATTTCCCGCCGGTTTCGGCGCCCGTACGTCCTGACGTCACAGGGACTGGAACACAGAAGCCGGATGCCGGCATCGGCCGGAGGAGATGGCCGGGGATGCTGCAGGGGACACATCGCGGGAGCGAAGGACAAGGTAAGCTCTGCAGGGACCCCCAGAGCAGCGCCGCATGGTAAGCCCGAGTGTAGCTCGGGGGGTTACCGCTCTTTGGTATAGAAATTTTACCCCGAGCTACACTCGGGAATACCGCCAGGAGGTTAATGAATCCCTGTACAGGCGGTCCTATTGATGTCAATTGGGAGACAGCAGCTGCACAGACACAGACCCTGCTGCCAATGTGACATCTGCGTGGGTGCAAGGCCCTGAATGCAGACAGTCTCCTTTCCTACACGCTGTATAAACAAGGCCTTACACTGACGTATGAGCAAGTCACCTCTATGCCCACTGATTACTGACTTCTGCTATTTTACTCAAACTATTTCATTTATTTTTTATAAATCTATCGATTTCAGCAAAATTTCTTATTTTGGATTATAAAATTGTTGGTTTTGTATATGATTTTACAGATTTAATTCTAATATCAAAACAAAGATTCTCTCACCTCAGCCTCAGACAATTGATCATCACTTGTCATGACCAAGTTTAGAATTGGATGACCTTTGGTCGGGCATTTTAATAACTGTTTTAAAGAAACCCTTTTCATGCCTCCAACATATCTCTATCTTGCTTGTAAGCACAGTTTGAAAATTCCAATTATGGTCTAGCATGTTAAATACACCAATAATTAACATTTTTTCTCTTAGTTGTCATTTGAGTAATCTTGTCAATCAACGGGTTACCATAATCCTCAGAGTTTCCCTGCGGTCTGTATACTTCACCAGTATTGGGAATATTCCTCCTTAATGGTTTTGTAGGCAGACAAAAAAAAAGTCGGTCATTTGATTTTTTTTTTCTTTTTAAATAATGTTAACTTTATTCTTATTTAACCATTTCAATATCGGGCAATTTTCCCCCTTCCCTTCCAGGCCAGTTTTCAGGTCTCAGCGCTCTCACAATTTGAATGACAATTGCGCGGTCATACAACGTTGTACCCAAACTAAATTTTTATCAATTTTCTTCACACAACTAGAGCTTTCTTTTGGTGGTATTTAATCACCGCCGGGGATTTTATTTTTTGCTAAATTATCAAAAAAAGACCAAAAATTTTGAAAAAAAGCAAACGTTTTTCTTTGTTTCTGTTATAAAAGTTTGCAAATAAATAATTGTTCTTCATAAATTTAGGCCGAGATGTATTCTGCTACATGTCTTTGGTGAAAATATAACCCAAATTAGGATGTATTTTTTAGTTTGTAGGAAAGTTATAGAGTTCACAAACTATGGTATAGATCTGAATATTGATCAATCCTGAAGTACTGACAGCCAATCTAATTTCTTGAGGTTCAAGAATGTCAGAACAGTACAGATATCCCCCAAATGTCAGGACAGTACAGATATCCCCCAAATGTCAGAACAGTACAGATATCCCCCAAATGTCAGGACAGTACAGATATCCTCCAAATGTCAGGACAGTACAGATATCCCCCAAATGTCAGGACGGTACAGATATCCCTCCAAATGTCAGAACGGTACAGATATCGCCCCAAATGTCAGGACAGTACAGATATCCCCCAAATGTTTGCACAGTCAGGACAGTACAGATGTCCCCCAAATGTCAGGACAGTACAGATATCCCCAAATGTCAGAACAATACAGATATCCCCCCAAATGTCAGGACAGTACAGATATCCCCCAAATGTCAGAACGGTACAGATATCCCCCAAATGTCAGAACGGTACAGATATCCCCCAAATGTCAGGACGGTACAGATATCCCCCCCAAATGTCAGAACAGTACAGATATCCCCCAAATGTCAGGACAGTACAGATATCCCCCAAATGACCCCTTTTTGCAGAGTAGACAGTCCGACGTACTTCATAAGAGGCATGGCGAGTTTTTTGAAGTTGTATTTTTTTTGTCATAATTTTTCGGAAAATGAAAAAAATGCAAAAAATTATTTTCACTATTTTTTTTTTTTAACATACTGTCACCAGAACAATACAGATATCCCCCAAATGTCAGGACAGTACAGATATCCCCCAAATGTCAGGACAGTACAGATATCCCCCAAATGTCAGAACAATACAGATATCCCCCAAAATGTCAGGACAGTACAGATTTCCCCCAAATGTCAGGACAGTACAGATATCCCCCAAATGTCAGGACAGTACAGATATCCCCCTAAATGTCAGGACAGTACAGATATCCCCCAAATGTCAGGACAGTACACATATCCCCCAAATGTCAGAACGTACAACTTGTTACAGATATCCCCCAAATGTCAGAACGGTACACAATTTGATATCCCAAAATGTCAGAACGGTACAGCTATAAGCAAATGTCATTTAACGGTACAGACATCCCCCAAATGTCAGAACAGGGATATTTTTTTTTTTGTCAGAACAGTACAGATATCCCCCAAATGTCATTTGGACAGTACAGATATCCCCCCAAATGTCATGTGACAGTACAGATTCCCCCCAAATGTCAGGACAGTACAGATATCCCCCAATGTCAGGACAGTGAAGATATTCCCCAAATTGTCAGGACTGTACAGATATCCCCCAAATGTCAGGACAGTACAGATATCTCACAAATGTCAGGCAACGGTACAGATATCCCCCAAATGGCCCCTTTTTGCACAGTAGACAGTCCGACGTACTTCATAAGAGGCATGGCGAGTTTTTTGAAGTTGTATTTTTTTTCAGAACAGTACAGATATCCCCCAAATGTCAGGACAGTACAGATATCCCCCCAAATGTCAGGACAGTACAGATATCCCCCCAAATGTCAGGACAGTACAGATATCCCCCAAATGTCAGGACAGTACAGATATTCCCCAAATGTCAGGACAGTACAGATATCCCCAAAATGTCAGAACGGTACAGATATCCCCCAAATGTCAGAACGGTACAGATATCCCCCAAATGTCAGAAACAGTACAGATATCCCCCAAATGTCAGAACAGTACAGATATCCCCCAAATGTCAGGACAGTACAGATATCCCCCCAAATGTCAGGACAGTACAGATATCCCCCCAAATGTCAGGACAGTACAGATATCCCCCAAATGTCAGGACAGTACAGATATTCCCCAAATGTCAGGACAGTACAGATATCCCCAAATGTCAGGACAGTACAGATATCTCCCCAAATGTCAGAACGGTACAGATATCCCCCAAATGGCCCCTTTTTGCACAGTAGACAGTCCGACGTACTTCATAAGAGGCATGGCGAGTTTTTGAAGTTGTATTTTTTTTTTTTTGTCATAATTTTTCGGAAAATGAAAAAATGCAAAAAAATTATTTTCACTATTTTTTTTTACATACTGTCACCAGGGCAGTACAGCGTCATCATATAACTGGCATGGCGGTGATCAGGGACACTGACTGGTGACAGTATGAAAAAAAAAACATTTAAAAAAAAAGTTTTTATTTTTTATTATTTTTTTTATTTTTTATTACTTTTTTTTTCTTTTTTTTAAAGATTTTTTTTTTTCATATTTCACTATGTCCAAAGTAGTACAATGTTACCACAGTAACATTGTACTACTTTGGGGAAGTGATCAGCATTTTTTAAATTTTTTTATTTTTTTTTTACACACAATTTGCTTTAGCAAAGAATTACTTTGCTATAAGCAAGCATTTACCTGAATGACATCGATTCATTCAGGGGTTTTTTTTTTTTTTTTGTGTGCTTAGCTGTGATTTGGCCACAGCTAATCACATGACATGTACATGTGATTAGCTGTGACCATTTACAGCTAGACACTAGTATACAATGGATGGCATGAATGAAGCCATCCATTGTATACAACTGTCATGTGACCTGCTGTGATTGGTCACAGCAGGTCACATTGGTACCGGGTCAATGGGGCCGATACTCAGATCTGTCATGGGCCGTGTCCGAGGTAAACGGCCAGTGGACAGATCACGCCGCTGCACAGCTCTGCAAGCGCGAAAATTGCGCATGTGCGGGGAACGCCAAATGGCGTACACCCGGAAAGCTAATGCATTTTTCCGGCTGCCTTTTGGCTATTGGCCGGGCGTGTATTGGTTAATAAAAACTCAACTTCCCTCTTTCCTACTCTGTCTCTCCTATATAGTGTGTACCCTGGTATAGGTCTTTCCCATAATTTGAATCCCTAAACCACGCTTCTCCAATCACAACAAAGTCTAAAGCTCTGAGCTCACAAAGCTTGTTACCCAAACTACATGACAAACACTGCTATGTACCGTTGAATTTATAGTATCAGAATCTTTAATTGCATTAATCACCCTATCGGCCAAGTCCTTAGAAAGTCCTCACATTTACTTATATATCTCCTGGAGGGACAGAAATGTTCCTTGGCAATGAAAATCTTTACTCCAATTTCTCAGTTTTAATGCATGTCCAAAAACCCCTGAATTCCATACTAAGTAGCTGAGCACCATTGTGTGAGGTATGCTGACCTCTTTTGTGCAGCTCAATATCAGACCACCTGCTAACACCAGGACTAACATAAACATAACCTTCAGCTTTACACCATTCCTTCAACTAAGCATTCAACTCTGCAATATGAAAGACTTTCCCTTTTTGTGTATTTCAGTCAGGTAATGCCTCTGAAAATCAAAGGGTAATTCAATTGATTTTGAATGGCACTCCAATGCACTTTGCTGAAAGGTAGGCAGCCCATTCATTTGCCTTAATGCAGCACATGTTAACACTTGGCCTGATGTGTATTAGCCTGCATGCGCTAACACAGAGCAATAATGTGATTGCGCAGATGTGCTGCTGGGCTCACTTGGGGACTGCCCAAAGTCTTGTGGCACATGACTGTGCAAGCATTCCTGGAAGGGGAGTGGGGGGCACAAGCAGGGGCGGACTGACAACTCATGTGATTGCGTAGATGTGCTGCTGGGGCTCACTTGGGGCCCAAAGTCTTGTGGCACATGACTGTGCAAGCATTCACAGGAAGGGGAGTGGGGGGGCACAAGCAGGGGCGGACTGAGAACTCATGGGGCCCCCGGGCAATAGAGGATCATGGGGCCCCTGTGTCCTTGCCCAAACTCAAAAAGCCTATGAAAAAGGTACCAGGGGCATCTCATGGGACCGCCCTACTGACCCCGGGCCCTCGGGCAGTGCCCAAGTTTCCAAATGGTCAGTCCGCCCCTGGGCACAAGTATAATTCCCACCTAGGCAAGCAATGTGCAAAACAAAATATCCAATGGTGACAGAAGGATGGGAAGGAAGCAGGGCAATATGACACTTAGGTGAAGATCCATTTTAAGGTCCATCTTCAGCCCAAAAATTTTTTTTCCTTTTAGTTTTGCATAGAATGGGAATAGTGGAAACAACTGTCAGGTTTCTGTTGTAGTCTGTGATGCCACTGGGGAGGGGGGGGAGGGATTCTTTATGACACCAAAGTAACAAATTAAGATAATAGTCACATGCTCAAGAAGATACAAACAGTAAAACCAAACAGACATTCTAACCCTTCCTGACACCTATAAAAAAAAAATCTTTCTAATCAAACACAGGGGCCAAAAATCGGCCAAAAACGTTCAGTTCGGCAGGAACCAGACGACTTTCGGCCTGTCTATACAGCTACTTGTTAATAGAAGCCAGTCTCACAACCAGCCTCTGTTGAATGAGCATGCTGGAAAACCTGCATTCTGATCAGCGCTTGCAGCCAATTGCTGAGAGCGCTGATCACTATGTTGTGGTGGGGGGCAGTCCCTTGCCAGAACAGGATAGCTCAGTGGGGAGATTGCCACACTAACATCAGTGTTAGTACGGTGATCTGGAAGGTTTTTTGTTCAGCTCACTGGGTTGAACGAAAAAAAAAAAACTTCCTGTGTGTACCCAACATTGGGCAGGCCATAGATCCTCCACTTTTCTATGTTTATGCAACTATGGGTTGAAGGAAAGAAAATTGCTTGATTCCCCCATCAACACAGTGGGTGTTAACAGGGGAATCTCTCCTGCTGTGCTATTGTATTCTAAGAGCAGGAGGTTCCCAGCCACTTAGACCAGGGGTGTCAAACTAGCGGCCCTCCAGCTGTTGTGAAACTACAAGTCCCATCATGCCTCTGCCTTTGGGAGTCATGCTTGTAACTGTCAATCTTGCAATGCCTCATGGGACTTGTAGTTTGGCAACAGTTGGAAGCAGGGGCGGACTGACAACTCATGGGGCCCCCGGGCAATAGGGGATTATGGGGCCCCTGTGTCCTTGCCAAACTCAAAAAAGCCTATGAAAAAGATACCAGGGGCATCTCATGGGGCCCCCTACTGACCCCAGGCCCTCGGGCAGTGCCCGAGTTTCCAAATGGTCAGTCCGCCCCTGGTTGGAAGGCTTCCAGTTTGACACCCATACTTTAGAGCACAATTATCACTGCTGGTGGCTGAATTTCAATGCATCTATCTGTACTGTTACTTCCAGTCCCCGTGACACCCTATCATTAGAAAAGGGAGCATGGGTGAATTTTTTTTTTAGTTATATAGTTTTTTAACACAGTCTGAATAGTGATTAATGTTAGTGATCCAGAAGAATTATTTTAGTGGCTCGCAAGTGACACACACATTTTTTCGAATCCCCCCATTGTGGACACTGAAAGGACATCTCCCCATTGTGGACACAGACAGAAACACAAACATGACAAAAACTTTGAACTCTCCCTCTGAATTAATATGGAAACAGATATAGTCTGATTAATTGCTATAGGGTGCGCCACAATTTTGCACTATAAAATAGATTTTACAGCATGCTTGCAATACTGGTGTAGAAACAAGGCTTGTGCATCAAGATTGTCGTAGTACTGTAGGTTCTCAACAAAACCTATAATAATGGCAAACGATAAAAAAAAATGTCAGGGTTCTACTGGGGCTCAGGTCTGAAGAAGAAGCCTATTGAGCATGCTCCGAAATGCATTACCGCCCCTTCACCTGCTACATCTGACTCTGCTCTCCAAGCTTCATTTTTGATGCACATCCTGGACTCTACTTCCTGATCCTATAGGCATAGTCTGCTGCTGGACGGCTGGATGTCCCACCTGGATCCAATTACCACACGATGAGTCTTTTTAACCATTTATCTTGTAAGTGCAAATTTTCCATTGTTTACTGAATAAATTGTTAATACTGCACTTAGAGCAGTGCTTCTCAAATAGTGGGGCGCGCCTCCGTCAAGGGGGGCGCATACAGGGGTGGACAGAGGGCTGCTGTCTCTTACCTGGCTCCCACGATGATCCATCCGGGAAGCGCTGCTCCTTCTGTCACTCCGGCCACTCCCTCACTCCTGCCGCTCGGCTCCGCCTCCTCACTGGTGATTGGCCGCCAGAACTGTAGCTCAGGAAAGGTACACAGATGGCCAATCATGGGCGAGGAGGCGGAGCCGAGCAGACCCGCGAAAATCGAGTGAGGGAAAAGCCGGTAAGTGTGCAGTGCAGAGGTGCTGCTGCAACCACATATGCTGGCTGCAGCAGCACCATACTGCAACAGGGGTCAGCAAGTGTCATTGGTGTCAGTGGGAGGAATAGTGCCGCATCATTGGTGTCACCGATACTAATGATGGGGCATTATTCCTCCCACTGACACCAACGATGGGGCACTATTCCTCCCACTGACACCAATGATGGGGCACTATTCCTCCCACTGACACCAATGATGGGGCACTATTCCTCCCACTGACACCAATGATGGGGCACTATTCCTCCCACTGATACTAATAATGGGGCACTATTCCTCCCAGTGATACCAATGATGGGGCACTATTCCTCCCACTGATACCAATGATGGGGCATTATTCCTCCCACTGATACCAATGATGGGGCACTATTCCTCCCACTAATACCAATGATGGGGCACTATTCCTCCCACTGACACCAATGATGGGGTACTATTCCTCCCACTGACACCAACGATGGGGCACTATTCCTCCCAGTGATACCAATGATGGGGCACTATTCCTCCCAGTGATACCAATGATGGGGCACTATTCCTCCCACTGACACCAATGATGGGGCACTATTCCTCCCACTGACACCAATGATGGGGCACTATTACTCCCACTGACACCAATGATGGGGCACTATTCCTCCCACTGACACCAATGATGGGGCACTATTCCTCCCACTGGCACCAATGATGGGGCACTATTCCTCCCACTGATACTAATGATGGGGCACTATTCCTCCCACTGACACCAATGATGGGGCACTATTCCTCCCACTGGCACCAATGATGGGGCACTATTCCTTCCACTGATACTAATGATGGGGCACTATTCCTCCCACTGACACCACAATGATGGGGCACTATTCCTCCCACTGACACCAATGATGGGGCACTATTCCTCCTACTGACACCAATGATGGGATACTATTCCTACTTATAACAATTTTATAGACAAATGAAACTATTTACAGTCGTGCGGGGGGGCGCAAAATGTTTTCTTCTTCCTAGGGGAGGCATGACAGAAAATAATTGAGAAGCACTGACTTAGAGGCTCCTTCCTCTCTTTTTCTTGTTACTGCATTAGAGCCTTGCTTCCACTCTAAGAGCTGCATCAGTGTTACTGCTCCCATCCATCCATCCATCCATCCATCCCTGATATCCGTCTGGCACCTTTATCTTACAGCTACAGAGGTTGGGCTCCAACAAGCGCGCCCTATACAATATACATTTTCTAATGGCAAACGATAGCCTGCTCTATGAACCATTACGGAATATGATTTACTATCCTAATCTAAACAAAATTAAAAAGTTATTTCAGGTAAAACTGATGCTTCTTGCAAAAGCAAAAGGCTCTTCTGATATAACATATGCTTATTAAATATAATTATGCGTTTTTTCGATAATAAGTAGGTAACCTTCCAAAAAAACAAGTAAGATAAAAGTCGACACAGATCTGTTTAGTTACACTGCCGTGGTTTATTATCTTAAATAAGTATTGAAAATTATTATTTTTGCTTCTCACATTTCTAGCCAATCGGCAGGCATTATAGCAAGCTATACTGAGATGTGCGATGCTTTTATGAGTGACTGAAGTGTGTATTAAATTCACATTATCTACTTATACCAGTAATCTCCAACAAAGCAGGATTACTTTTACATGTTAAGTCCAGCATTACATTCCTATTAATATATCATTTTAGATTCAGCATGTAAATTAACCCTTTGTTACAAATGTGCACAAAACTTTGTTTCTGTATGTTTTATGCACCATTCTGCAAAGCAATATGAATTATTATATTAATTTACTGATGACAGAAACAGTATATACTGTGTGTATATATATATATATATATATATACGGTCTATAATATATATATATATATACAGGTGAAACTCAAAAAAATTAGAATATTGTGCAAAAGTTCATTTATTTCAGTGCAGCGACTTAAAAGGTGAAACTAATATATGAGATAGACTCATTACATGCAAAGCAAGATAGTTCCAGCCGTGATTTGTCATCATTGTGATGATTATGGCTTACAGCTCATGAAAACCCCAAATCCACAATCTCAGAAAATGAGAATATTCCATGCAATCAATAAAACACAGATTGTACATAGAACAATATCGGACCTCTGAAAAGTAGAAGCATGCATATGTACTCAGTGCTTGGTTTGGGCCCCTTTTTGCAGCAATTACTGCCTCAATGCGGCGTGGCATAGAAGCTATCAGCCTGTGGCACTGCTGAGGTGTTATGGAAGACCAGGATGCTTCAATAGCGGCCTTCAGCTCTGCTGCATTGTTCGGTCTCATGTCTCTCATCTTTCTCTTGGCAATGCCCCATAGATTCTCTATGGGGTTCAGGTCAGGCGAGGCGATTGCTGGTCAATCAAGCACAGTAATCCCACGGTCATTGAACCAGGTTTTGGTGCTTTTGGCAGTGTGGGCGGAGCCAAGTCCTGCTGGAAAATGAAGTCAGCATCCCCATAAAGCTCGTCTGTGGAAGGAAGCATGAAGTGCTCCAAAATCTCCTGGTAGACGGCTGCGTTGACCCTGGACTTAATGAAGCACAGTGGACCAACACCAGCAGATGACATGGCTCCCCAAATCAACACAGACTGTGGAAACTTCACACTGGACTACAAGCATCTTGCAGTGTGTGCCTCTCCATTCTTCCTCCATACTCGGGGTCCTTGGGCCTCTCCATTCTTCCTCCATACTCGGGGTCCTTGGGCCTCTCCATTCTTCCTCCATACTCGGGGTCCTTGGGCCTCTCAATTCTTCCTCCATACTCGGGGTCCTTGTGCCTTTCCATTCTTCCTCCATACTCGGGGTCCTTGGGCCTCTCCATTCTTCCTCCATACTCTGGGTCCTTGGGCCTCTCCATTCTTCCTCCATACTCGGGGTCCTTGTGCCTCTCCATTCTTCTTCCATACTCTGGGTCCTTGGGCCTCTCCATTCTTCCACCATACTCGGGGTCCTTGGGCCTCTCTATTCTTCCTCCATACTCGGGGTCCTTGGGCCTCTCCATTCTTCCTCCATACTCTGGGTCCTTGGGCCTCTCCATTATTCCTCCATACTCGGGGTCCTTGGGCCTCTCTATTCTTCCTCCATACTCGGGGTCCTTGTGCCTCTCCATTCTTCCTCCATATTCCTTGGGCCTCTCCATTACTCCTACATACTCGGGGTCCTTGGTTTCCAAATGAGATGCAAAAGTTTCTCTCATCGCAAAAGAGGACTTTGGACCACTGAGCAACAGACCAGGTCTGTTTTTCTTTAGCCCAGGTAAGACGCTTCTGACGTTGTTTGTTGCTCAGGAGCGGCTTGACAAGAGGAATACGACATTTGAAGCCCATGTCCAGGATCCGTCTGTGTGTGGTGGCTCTTGATGCACTGACTCCCGCCTCAGTCCACTCCTTGTGAAAGTCCCCAACACTTTTGAATAGCCTTTTCCTGACAATCCTCTCCAGGCTGCGGTCATCCCTGCTGCTTGTGCACCTTTTTCTTCCACACTTTTCCCTTCCACATAGCTTTCTATTAATGTGCTTTGATACAGCACTTTGGGAACATCCAACTTCTTCTGCAATTACCTTTTGAGGCTTTCCCTCCTTATGGAGGGTGTCAGTGATGGTGTCAGGTCAGCAGTCTTTCCCATGATTGTGATTCCTACTGAACCAGACTGAGAGGCCATTTAAAAGGCTCAGGAACCCTTTGCAGGTGTTATGGCTGAATGAGCTGATTAGAGTGGGACACTTTGAGCCGAGAATATTCCACCTTTTCACAATATTCTCATTTTCTGAGATTGTGGATTTGAGGTTTTCATGAGCTGTAAGCCATAATCATCACAGTGATGACAAATCACGGCTTGAACTATCTTGCTTTGCATGGAATGAGTCTATCTCATATATTAGTTTCACCTTTTATGTTGCTGCACTGAAATAAATGAACTTTTGCACAATATTCTAATTTTTTGAGTTTCACCTGTATATATATATATATACACTCTCTCTGTGTGTATGATAGACAGATAGATAGATTATATTTGATTTAGGTCCATTGAATCAGCTGAATAAGGGTATACTGAGGGGATACACTTTAAGTGCATTTATAAAAAAAAAAATAGAACTATTCATCCTGTAAAACTGCATGTATAATCGCTCTGGATTAATCGAACAATACTAGGCTATTTTCTTTCAAGGTTGGATGTTCTTCATTCATAAAAGTAGCATGCATTAGGAAAATGCAGATTTATGGCCACTAAAAGGGGTTGAAAATCATAGAAGCAATGTCTTTTTTTCCTATGGTTATCAGTTCCATCTAGTGGCCTTAAAGCAGTATTCCATGATTCATGTTCATATGCCTATGAATGAAGAACATCCAACCTGGAGATAAAACAGTCATGTAACATTTGATTATTTTCTGACATTTGCAAGGAACAAATATACATGCAGATTTGCAGGAATAGTTCTGCAAGTTGTTTTAAAAGAACACTAAAAGTCAAAAATTGGACTTTCCCCATTTCTTAACCCCCCCTGGCGGTATTCCTGAGTGTAGCTCGGGGTAAAGTTTCAGTACCAAAAGCGGTAACCCCCCCCGAGCTACACTCGGGAATTACCATGCGGCGTTGCTCAGGGAGTCCCTGCAGCACTTACCTTGTCCTTCGCTCCCGCGATGTGTCCCCTGCAGTGTCCCCGGCCATCTCCTCCGGCTGATGCCGGCATCCGGCTTCCGTGTTCTGGTCCCTGTGACGTCGGGCCGTACGGGCGCCGGAACCGGCGGCAAATTTGAAAGTTTTAAAAAATTTCATTTTTTTTAAAACGATTTATTATATAGTAAAACATTGCTGTTTCAACCCATTTCACATACATTTTGTCCCGAGTGCTTTGTCCGGCGCCCTGCCTGCATTTTGTCTGTTCTTTCTGCCTGGAAACTGAGAAACGTCCATGGCGTCCAAAAAGCGTTCCTTTACTTCAAAATTGGTTTTAGACCGGCTAGAGAACAGCGATAGTAAATCAGAACCACTTGCAGAATTGAGTGATAATGATTCGTGGGGGAAATTCCTCATCAGACACTGAAAACGATTCTGCGACTTTGCTCAGCGATGTGCGAACTTGGCGCTATATTTCCTTTCCCGATTATATTATTGAATTAAATGTATTATTATGTTTTTATTAAATTATAATTTATGATTTCTAGATCTCCCCGGGATGTTTACGACTCTTGTTCGGACAGATTTCAGTGAGTTATTCCTAAAAATTACAGTCTACAATAAAAAAACTACATATTTCCATGCAAAATAATGGTTCACCCTCTCTGTCTTGTTTACTGTTATCACAGAGAGTGAAAGGAAAACCAGAATTTTGGGTTGGCACCAGAGAAGGAATAAAAGGACACTCTTCCAGTTGGGACACTGGTTGCGATGCTTCTGGAGTCAAGCAGAACTTTTCTCACTTTGGAGGGATTTCCTCTTACTTCCTGTTTTGGCTATGTGACAGGAAGTGTAAGGAAATCTCCCCACTGGGACAAATTTGACAAAAAAGAAAAGAAACTGACTGGGGTGATAACCCTTCTTTACTCCAAAGTAAAGAAAAATTTTGCGTTTAGTTATTATTATTATACAGGATTTATGGCGCCAACAGATTGCTCAGTGCTTTACAATATAATGGGAGTCAATACAGTAACAATACAGCTCAATACAAGAGAGTTAGGAGGGCCCTGATCCTTGGAGCTTACAATCTAAGAGGGAGGGGCTAGTGGTACAAAAGGTAGTAACTGTGGGGGATGGACTGGTAGGAGGAATAGAAGATTCCGTTATTAGCTGAGGGCAGGATAGGCTTCCCTGAAGAGATCGGTTTTCAGAGATTGCTTAAAAGTGAGCAGAGTAGGCAATAGTCTGATAAATTGGGGTATAGAGTTCCAGAGGAGAGGGGAAGCTCTGGAGAAGTCCCGAAGACGAGCATGGGAGGAGGAGACAAGGGAGCTAGAGAGCAGGAGGTCGTGCAAGGTTATTTCTACTTTAAGTATACTCAGGTGTGTCAGCTTTGCGAACAGAACCTTGGGCCTTAACCACTTGCCGCCCAGCCACTGTAGATATACGGCGGCAGGGCGGCACTCGCAGGCAAAGCCACATTTTAAAACATGTGTTTTGTAAACAAATAGGGGGCGCGCGCGAGCCGTGCCGTTGCCCTATCTGTCCCGCCGATCACCGCCGCAGATGTGAGTCGCCGGGTCACAGCTGGTCCTTAGTGGCTGTTTCCTGGCGATCGGCGGCAAACAGTGACAGAGAGCACAGCTGCAGTAGCTGTGCTGTCTGTCACTTCCCTGTCAGCTCGAGGACGAGCTGATCGAGAAAGAACAGTTTCTCTTTCTCGATCAGCCTTGTCCGGTCCAGCACACACCCCGCCCCCTAGTAAAACACTCCCCTCACTCCTATAACCCTTCCCTGCTAAATAAAGTTAACCCCTTCCTCCCCATTGCCATTAGTACAGTGTTTTTTTTTTTGCACTGATCACTGTATTAGTGTTTTTGGGGATGTCAGTGACCCCAAGTCAGTACCCCCCATTGTTAGAATGTCCGCCGCAGTCCTGCCATAAGTCGCTGGTCGCTACCATAAGTCCCTGATCGCTGCCATTATTAGTATAAAAAAAAAAACTAAAAATCCCAGTATCTTTCCCGCCATTTGTAAATGCTATAACTTTCACGTAAAACCAATTAATTTACACGTATTGGGTTTTTTTTTTTTAGCAAAGACATGTCGCAGAATGCATTTTGGCAGAAATTTATCACTAAATTTGATTTTTACATTTTTTTTTACTGGACATGTTTTATAGCAAAAAGTCCAAAATATAGTTTTTTTTTCCTCAAAATTGTCAGCCTTTTTTTTTTATAGAGCAAAAAATAAAAACCGCACAGGCGATCAAATACCACCGAAAGAAAGCTCAATTTGTGGGGGAAAAAAGGATGTAAATTTCATTTATGTACCGTATTGCATGACCGCGCAATTGTCCGTTAAACTAGCGCAGCGCTGTATAGCAGAAAAATGGCGTAAATTGCAGTATCTATACCATAGTTTGTAGACGCTATAACTTCCACAAAAAGCAATCAATATACACTTATTGGGATTTTTTTTACCAAAAACATGGAGCAGAATACATTTTTGCCCTAAATTTATAACCAACTTTGAGTTTACTATATATTTTTTATAGCTGAAAGTAAAAAATATTGTTTTTCTTCAAAATTTTTGGCCTTTTGTTGTTTATAGCGTGAAAAATAAAAAGCGCACAGGTGATCAAATACCACCGAAAGAAAGCTCTATTTGTGTGAAAAAAAGGACGTAAATTTCGTTTGGGTGCAGCATTGCATGACCGCGCAATTATCAGTTGAATTAGTGCAGCGCCGAGTAGCAAAAAGAGGCGTGGTCATTAAGGGGGGGTAAATCCTCAGGAGGGCAAGTGGTTAAAATACTTGCATGCCCAAATAACTCGGGCATGTGTAATGCCTTTCCCTAATATAAATGGGCTGGTTTGTTAAAGGGATTAAGATTCTTCACTCAAAAAATTGTGTGAATAATAACTTAAGTTATTCAATTATGTGAAAATCATCTAGACCTGATTTGGTATTGGATTCACATTTAGTAAATCAGCCTCACGCTGTCACATTTGGAGAAGACGTCGAGAAGGTTCATGCCGGCACCTCTGGCTAATTAGTGAGTATACAATAACAATCAGAAAAGGTTTTCAAACATTTGCAATCACTACTATTTTAGATGAGCCCCGTGACACGTGTAGGTAGCTCCTTGTGTTGTTATCTGAAGACAATGTCATCTCATCTCCAGGAGCATCTTTGGCTGCATTACATATGTAAATTCCACTTCATAATGTAAAACACGTATTTTGCATCAATGGTCAAATATCCTAAAAACATTAGAAAGGAACAGATCTCGTTTATGGAAGTTTTCCCAACAAGGTGTCAATTAGAGTTGCCACTCTTTAAAACTGAACACATATTATTACACAGGTTCTGAGGCTGATTTAATGCAGATAAAGCACCAAGTGAGTTTAATTACCACCTTCATCAGCCACAGAACCTGTGTAATTAACCCCTCGCCTGCCGGGCACTTATACCCCCTTCTTTACCAGGCCAATTTTCAGCTTTCAGCGCTGTCGCACTTTGATTGACAATTGCGCGGTCATGCAAGATTGTACCCATATGAATTTTTTAGCATTTTTTTCTCACAAATAGAGCTTTCTTTTGGTGGTATTTAATCGCCGCTGGACACTTTACTTTTTGCGCTATAAACAAAAAAAGTGCAAAAAATGTGAAAAAAAAGTTTCTTTGTTTCTATTACAAAATTTTTCAAGCAGGTAATTTTTCTCCTTTCACTGATGTGCGTTGATGAGGCAGCACTGATGGGCACTGATATGTAGCACTGATGGGCACTGATAGGCGGCACTGATGGGCACTGATAGGCAGCACTGAAGGGCACTGATAGGCAGCACTAATGAGGTGGCACAGATAGGCGGCACTGATAGGCGACACTGATGGTGGGTACTGATAGACAGCACTGATAGGTGGCACTGACTGGCATCACTGCTGGACACTGACTGGTGGCACTGCTGGGCACTGACTGGCACAACTGCTGGGCACTGACTGGCAGCACTGCTGGGCTGCACTAATGGGCACTGTGTGGGGTGGCACTGGTGGGCAGAGGCGGGTGGCACTGGTGGGCACAGGTGTGTGACAATGCTGGGCACAGGCAGGTGTCACTTCTGGGCACATGTGTGTGACACTGCAGGGTGGCACTGCTGGGTGCACTGCTGGGCACAGGTGGGTGGAGCTAGTGGTCGCACTGCTGGGCACAGGTGGGCGGAACTTGTGGGTGGCACTGCTGGGCACCGATCATCAGTGCTCTGATGATCGGTGCTGATCCCCGCTCTAACAACTGCCGGTTCTCGGCAGTACTTTCCTCACGATCTGACAGCGTGAGGAAAGTGCAGCCGAGAACCGGCAATTGCATTTCCTGGTGATCAGCGTGTCATTGGACACGGCTGATCACGTGGTAAAAGGCCGCTGTGATTGGCCTTTTACCACATCACGTGATCAGCTGTGTCCGTAGGACACAGCGATCGCGGAGATTCTCGGGTGCGCGCCCCCGGGGGGGCGCGCAGGAGAGCACGTTCTGGGAGGACGTCATATGACGCCCACCCAGAACTGGCCGGTCGCAGTGTAGCCGTCATTCGGCTATCTGCGGTTCTGCGGCAAGTAGTTAATATGTGTTCAGTTTTAAAGCAATGAGGTGGCAACCCTAGTGTTGTTAGCAGTATTTAAGGGCAAAAAGAAACCTCAAGCTGGCTGATTCCGTTCTATTACTTCCAAAGCTCAAAGGGAGATGTAATTAAAAAATCTAACAATAAAGGTAGCCTTGATGTGCCCTTACTCTCATTTGAAAAAATGGTAAAGCGTCTGAATGTCTGTACATCAAAAGTGCAATAAGGGCTCCCACCTGTGTGTGAACCTTAGGGACATACAGACATCTTCACAAAGTTCACAAAGAAAAGGACAATATTTGCCATCAAATCTAAAAGAAAAAATACTTGATTCAGATGTAAAAGGAAAGATATTTGCCATCACAGATCTTTAAAAAACACAGTATTTGCATTTGCTACAGGAAATACACTTGCAAATTAAAAATAACATATTTTCACGGATCTTTTGCTTTAAAAGGATAAAAGACTTTGCAGATGAAGGACCGCTGTTCTCTGCCATAGGATGCACACACAGGTGTTTCTTCTCTGGTATAGGATGCCATCTTCATTTGTTTCTAAGAAAAGAGCAACACTATGATAATTTGTGTTATTACAAATTAAAGTCAAAGTACAAGGTGAAAGGCCCATTCAAACTATTACAAGGAGAAGCTCTGAATGGGGCCGAAGAATGTTTTCTTTTTTTTTTTTCTTTTCATTTCTTTTTTTTTTTTTTCCCCAAAGACTAATGCCTGAGTTCATTTCTAAAAGGATTTCACATGTACTGTATATGCGCACAACCGTAATATGTTTGCCTAATAATGGGTGCCTACAATTATTGGAGCACAAAAGTGTTATATTATTTTTATTACTATTGTCTCTGTGACCTGTTATGTTTGGTAATTGGTTTATTTAAAGATACGTCTTCAGACCACATAACACAAGCACCTTGTCAGGTGGGTATTTTTATTATGTTTAACACCAGCCAGGTGGTGCTTTGCTGACAACAAAGGCAGACTTGCCTCGGCATGAAGAAAACTTCAGAGAGTAGCAAAGTTGAGAGGCAATGAAGTGCTGACACAAGCAGCTGTGAAGTGTTCAGCCTCCAGCTAGACTATGCCCAACATACATTTCACCAGAGTGATACAAAGATCATTCAAAATTAAATTGTTAAATATGGATTATTGATATAAATACAGTGGGGATCGAAAGTTTGGGCACCTCAGCTAAAAATGTTTATTAATGTGCATAAAGAAGCCAAGGAAAGATGGAAAAATCTCCAA